AAAGTAATCTTTTTTTTTTGCATATAATACCCAAATTTTGGCATCCATTATGATTTATGACAGGTGGAAGCGTGAAGACCGATTCCACATTAGGTATATTAATTACTCCGTAATCCGTATAATTTAATTTATGGCATGACCCCGATAGTATACACTTGCGTGAGCTATGAATTATGAACTGAATCAGGCCCGCATCACCTCATGGTTTGAACGGTTGCACTATGGCTAGGATGATATATGGAAGATATTTGTAGATATCATATTTGAGCTAGTAGACGAAATTACTTTGAAAGATATATTTAGAAAAACCTAGTAGTATAAATATTTGACTATTTAAGATTATTTTCAACTTTCAATAAACATTCTGGACTAACATGTCTTTTATATTGTTGAATGGTTGAAATACTCCGTACTTCTTTACAAATAACATGCAAGAATGAAGCTCCATTAAAAATGAGTAAATAGAAATCCTTAATTGGGAAAGTTAATTGGAATTGTTCAAGATTTTTATGTGATAATGACATGATAATTGTTAAATCATAAGGAATCGTTCCTTTGATAATTGTAAATCATAAAGAACCGTTTATTTCATGTGTGCAGGTGAAGATGTTCTAAAAATCAACCTTTTTTGTGATTCTTACCTTCTAATATTGTCATATAATTAATATTTTTAAAATTTGTTTATACAGTATATTCCAACCATCATCTTCAAATAATTTACTTTTTCCTGATCCTCCATTAACCTACTCCGTATTACATAAATTTTCAAATAATCTTAGAATAATACAGATTCATATTTTGACCACAGATAATTCTCGCAAACAATCTATGCAAGTACGCAACTCAATGATGATTCTCAAAAAAAGTGTCGTCAATAATTTAATCTCCTATCATACGAATGAGGATATCATAAAAATCTTGTTTAATTTGATCCTATTATATAATCTATTTAAATTTAGTTTGATCAAGTTTGAATATTTATGATCTTATAAGGTATATGTGTGATATATAAAAGTTAGTCATGTGTGATGTACTATGATCTAAGAGCATCTTTAATGGTAACGTGGATTGCATCCCATAAAAAATGGACATATCATTAATGTGGACGGTCCATGAAGCTGATGTGGATAGACACACATTTAAAATAATATTTAAGCTCCAATGGTGTCATGAATTTAATTGTTCATACGCCAATACGCCATATATTGCTGAACTAAAAAATTGCCGTATGCTATTACTCTTTATTTGGTATATAACTCTTATTGAAATACGTACTCTAGCCAAATAAAAAACTCGTAGGTTATTATTTGCTAATGTTGAATTGGAATTAAAGAGTAGTAGATTATATAATTGGATTTTATCTTGGATTTATATGAAAGTGGGAGTGCGTGATAACTATGTAAGATGATTTATTATTATTATTATTAATATAATGAGTAATATAAGCAAAGCATCCGGCGTGAATAAGATTTTTGATGACTTGGCCGTGAGAAAGGCCTTCTGAAAGTAGCAAGAGCAGCGGACATCGTGTGACACGTTCCGCTCCAACTCAGCGGGAGATTGTGTATTCACATTTGCATTGGAGAATGTTATTTAACCTCAATGTCTATTTATGTGATGTGGCAGTACACTTTTAAACAATTGATACTCCCACTAAAGATGCTCTAAGGCGTTTTGTTTTTTTTTACCTTTTCTATAAAGTTATATATATCTAAATTAAGATGTTTGTCTATATTAATATTTATGCCTAGATCCATCTATTTGTTTATGCGACTGTTTATTTTGTATGTTGAATAAACAGTCACAATTGAACAATAATCTATTTAATATTATTATTGAATATATTGGCACCGAAGAATTTCATTTATTAACATAATTTATATATGACCAAATTTAAAAAATTACACGTCTCAATGGGGTCTTAGTAGGAAGGACTGATATATTAAACTAATAATTAGAATCAATTTTTTTAACTAAATGAATATGTCACGCTTTCAATTAGTCATAAGCTCACTACATGGTTAACGATTCGTGTTGTTCTCTCAGGGGTGACCGTCTCAAAGTCTCACCATAGGGTTACAGTCGTAGTTGTTGGAGTTTCAGTTGGTGTCAGTTTTATTTTCTCTTTGCTTGATGTAATGATGCTGAATCTTTTGATATGAATAGAGGTCTGTTTTGATGATAAAAAAAATTAGTCATAAGTAAATATGACAAACGGATAAATCTCTACTCTCATTATGTCCATTAATCACATGTAAAAAAAATCCCCAAATCATACCAGATATGTTTACGTCTGGTGTGATCAAATTGATTTAACCTATTTAAATCCGATTTGATCTTATATAGCATGATACTAAACGAGTTTGATTGAAAACATTTTCAAGGGAGAAATATTGTTACTTTAGTCATGTTGATTTTTATAGATGTAATTTGGCAGAATAATTTTTCAGTTGTTAAAAATGCCTTATAAAATTAATTATACTCTTCTTAAAAAGCAAGATGGTATGATTGTATGAAATATCATTGCATGAAACTAATTCATAGACATTTGGGGTAGGTTTGGAAGAACTGAGGTGAAACACGAGTTTTTGATTGACATTTACTACCTCCATCCAAAAAAGATGGAATAAGATGGGTAAATTAATTAAATACAACTACATTGTTTTCGTATATTACTCTTCTTCGTCTCAATTTACCTGCTATCACCTGCCAAAAGAATAATTTAACTTGCGGTGGAATCTCAAAATTCCACACCCCCGTCCATCCATTCCATTCCTCAGAATGAAACTCCCCACCAGACTTCTGTATCCACTCTGCACGGAGTACTTTCCTTTAGCATCTCTTAACCACATAATCCATCCTCGCCGGGCCTCACACTGAGCGGGATAAACAAGATTATATCATTTTATGTTGTGAAAAGATCTTTTTGACTCTAGGAGCATTTTCAATGTTACGATGTGCACAATGCCCATGTGGCATGAGAGATAGTCGCAAAAATATTAACAAATAAAGTGTTTTTCTCCTTATTTGAATGATTTTGTACAATGTTGGTAAAGTTTTCTTATTTAGGGTAACTATTAAAAAAAATTGTCATATTGACTTTTTTTTATTAATGACGACAAAGTTTTGGCAACGATTTTAATTACTATATTTGTATTTAATTCATAAATTTTATGCATGTATCAAAATATCAGTAGCTTTTTAATATGAATCTCATATTGAAAACAATTTCGTATTAAAAATTATGATCTTATTGAAAGGGGAAAACATTGTCTTATTACATGAGGTCCTATTTGGAGGAATTACATTGTCCAACTTTATTAAAAGGGGAAAACAATTTCTTATTAAAATGTCATGTTGAAATAAAGTGAAATTTATTGAAATTTGTTGTCACAATTTAGTCATTTATGGTTACAAAATTTTCATTATGGGCGACAAACCTCTGCAGGATCAAACTTTTCACTAACAATGTTACAATTTATAAAAATGTCAATGTCACAAAAATGTCATAATGTCACTATGTCAAATTTTGAAGATGTCAATGCTATAAAAATGTCATTATATTATGATAAGTACAGTGTCAGTGACAATGTCGTGACAATGTCAATGCTATAAAAATGACATTGTAATAATCAAAATGTCAATGACTATCCTGAAAATGTCAATGCTCACTCCTAATAAAATCGACATTGTTAAAGACAACATCAGTGATTAGTGCTATCAAAAGTGAAATTGTATATACACAAGAAAAAAATTTGTTTTTTAGGAAAGAAAAAATATTGTTGACAATGTAATGATATACAATGTCATTATATGATAATGTAATCATGATATTGTTTGAAAATTAATACTCCCTCCGTCCCGAAAATGTTGGCCAAAGTTGACTTTCACGTGGATTAATAAAATAAAAATTGTGTGGTTGAAATTTGTGCAAAGGAGAGAGAATTAATTTTAGCCACATATTTCTTACTTTAAATAGAAATGACAAATCTTTTTGGGATATCCAAAAAAAGAAATTTGGTCAACCTTTTCGGGACAGAGGGAGTATCTTTTAGTAAAATAAAACTAAAACAACTAGTCAACAAGAAAATAAAAAAATGTGCCAATGTTGACTTAATTTATTAACATTTTTATTATTACCAACATGACATTGTGATATTGTGACATTGTGATATTATGACATTGTATATTACATTGTGACATTGAGATATTAATATTGTGACATTGTCAAGAAGTGACATTATTTCATTGATCAAATGGAGATATTGTAACATCATCATGCCATTGTAAAAAGATTAAAATATCAAAAAACTATCAAAATGTCGGAAAATTGTCATAATGTCAAATAATGACAATGTCAATGTCATTATTTATTGTATTATGTCATTGACAATGAAATCGAATTTCACAATTGTATCAGTCACTTTCACATTGTGAATTCTATTATTATATTGAAAATATTGTCATTAATGCAAAAAAATGTCACACTTTATTAAAATAATTTATCAACAATAATGTATTAATATCAATATCATTGTAAAAATGAATGATAATGTATATTTAAATGTGACATTTGAATAAGGGGTTTTTTGGAACTGATTCTGCTGTTGCTTCTTTTTTTTAAGCAGAAGCAAAATCAGAATCAGTTTTCAGAAGCTGGTCACCCCTAGCTTCTAAAAAAACTTATTCTAGGAGTAAATTAGAGCACTAGAATCACTTCTGCACTTTCACCCAACATTCCAGCTTCTGCTTCTGCTCAGCTCCTTCAGAGAGCATAAGCACTTTTAAGAATAGATCTAAACACCCCTGAAATAATAATGCGAGCTTCCATCTCCGATGACATTGACACATTAAAGCCAACATTACATGGGTAAATGGTTAAATGAATTAATGAAATACTAATAAAAAATTAATTCATATTAAAAACAAATGAAACAAAATTACAATTTGGTAAAGTAAAATAGAAAAAAGAAAAACAAGACAAAAAGGAAATACAAGAGCAGCGAACAAACAAAACATGGAAAGAAAAAACAGAGCATTTCCAGATGAGAAGAAGCAGAAGCGAGAGAAAAAGTGGCGGCAACAAGAGAAAAGAAGATGAGAGAATGATGAGGAGCAGGGATAACAGAAGGAGGGATCTGCAAAATCTTAGTCGAAGCTGCACTGTACCTCGTTCTCGCCGTCCATCGCGCGTCTCTTTTGCCGTCAGCTCAGACCTGCCGCCGCGCCACCTCCCCGCCTCATCTGATTCAGCTTCCCATATCCGTATTCCGCCCCCGTTGTTCTGCCAAGGAGCCGCTCCCACAGTCGAAAGAGAAGCTTGGCTTGGTAACTGGGTTTAATTTGTCGACACGGAACTATGAAAGAGAAGGCAGATTACTCCGTAATAAGTTAGGGGTAAATATGAAAGCACGGGAAAATATAGTCTTATTTAGGTCCTGTTCATGTATATTATGTAAGTTCTAGTCCTACTTAGGGAGTGTTTGCAACAGCTTCTACTTAAAAAAGCACTTTTGGAGATATAAGGAAAAAATGATTAGTAGTAAAAGCTTATAGTGTTTGGGAAAAAGTGATTTTGAAAAGTAAAAGTTGGTAGTGTTTAATAAAATAAGTATTTTTTGTGTAATAGAAAAGAGAAAAACACTTTTCACACGCAAGCCGAGAAAAAGTAAAAATTGGTAGTGTTTGGTAAATAAGTGTTTTTATAAGCCAAAAGCTGAGAAGTGTTTTTTTAAGCGGTTGCAAACACTCCCTTAGGACCATTTCTCATTTGAATATCATCGATTAAAGAAAGTCAATATCCACAAATTTTAATAGAACAGAGTAGGGCTGTTAACGAGCCGAGCCCAAACACCTAAAACTCGAGTTCGGCTCGATAAGTAATTAATGGTGTTCGGGTTCGAGCTCGAAGCTCGGTGAGCTTTACAAATGAGGCTCGTATTCGGCTCGATAGGCGTTCTATGTTCGAACTTCGAACCGAGCGCTCGATAAATATGGTCGAATTTAAAATTTTAGGTGATGCTCGTTAATACTTAATAGGCTCGTGTTCAAATAATTCGACAAGTATTCGATTCGTTAATAATCATATTTAAATTCATAAAATCATACTAATTATATTTAAATTTTGATTATATATAAATTATAGTTATAATTTCAGGGTGTTCGATAGGCTCGAGTTCGAACCGAGCCGAATACTACTATGTTCGGGCTCGGCTCGATTAATTTTTCGAACTTAAAACTGAGCTCGGGTTCGGTTCGAAAGCTTGTTAAGCTCGGCTCGTTAGGTTCGAAACCGAGCTCAAACTTGAATAGTTCAATAAAAGCTCTGTTCGTTAACCGCCCTAGAACAGAGAGTATGTGTTATGGCTCGCGAGGGACAACACCGACTGGACAACACGATGGGAGGATGCAAGTTGGACTATAATCACAACCTGATCGACAAATAGAGAGTGGGGCTCCGTCTCCGGTACTTGCAGAGGCCCTGTGCATTTTTCAACATAGCAATCCCTTATCGCAGTTGGCGGGATTCGAACCCGAGACCTAATCCTTGTGGCACTCCCTCACTACCGGTTGAGCTGAATTTTTATTGAGTATGTCATGAGGTGTTGACTCGTTTTGCGCCTTAATCCATCCTTGTGAGCTATAACATCAAACCTCATCCAAAACAATCCGGCTCACAACCACCACGTTTTACTTCATTTTCCATTATCACACCCACCCACCCACGTAGACAACGCGAACATGGCGATGGCAATACCCAGGCCGCCGGCAACCATGTCCTCCACGACGGCCTCTTCCAGTTCCAATCGGAAGCCACCGTTTTCATCATCCGCCACCATCTCCATCAAATGCCATCGGAGCCCGGGAGTTTCAAGAAGAGATTTGTTGAGCGCGGGGCTGAGTTTCGTGCCTCTGCTCACCATTCCAACAAAACCCAAGGAAGTTGAAGTTGGATCCTACCTCCCTTCTTTTCTCGTCTACAAAGCAAAACCCACCATTCACACTGCTTCCGGTACCATTTCGATCTGTTTTTAACTGCGTATTCTTCAGTTTCTTTATCATTTCGTCTACATATGACTATTCTTTTTATAAATTGAGATAGACCAGTATCTTTGGATTCTAATTTCTCGAATTTTCGCAGTATAAGCCATGGTTGGTTGAAGTCTGGATCGTTTTTCTTCAAATTACATCATCAACATTGTGGTTATTAGTAATTACAGTACTACCTGGTAGACTTTAACTTCGGATTGAACGTGGTGTTCAAGTTCAACTTCAATTCATTATTCGTACTCTACAGTCTACTCCGGACTGCAAGCTACCAATTTTTAGTTACCAAGAGTATTTGCCTATTTGTGACACTCCTTATTTAAGTAGGATTTTGATCATGAATTAAGACTTTCCTAGAAATGCTAGGGAAGGTAAGAAAATACTAACGAAAGGTATTTTCTTGTGCTAGGTTTACCATGGAAAACGCGAGGAATGAAATATGATAAATGCTTCAAAAAGTTTTACATTTTTTAGACTAGTTAGCCTTTTGATACTAGAAATAGATAAATATAGAGTAATTAAAATGAGTTTGAACTACAGATATAGTGAGTTGGACGTTTTATATTCCATCTCATTTATTCCCTTCCAAGTTTAAAGTTTTTACTTTATTTCAGAAATATAACTTGTGGAAAAATAAACTAAAGTTACTTTGAGTATATCTTGAAAGGCACTATAGTGTAAAAGTTGAATATGATCATGGTCACTAAAGTTTTTATTATGGCCGCTCAAGTATAAGAACTTACATACTTGTATGCTGCCATTATTTTGGATTTTGGTCATATATTCTGCATCGTTTCTCCAAATTTTACCAATAATGAGTTTGACTTTTTCATTAGTATTTCCAAATTTTGTAAGTTGGACATTTCTACCCTGGCAATATTCCGAGTGCCAAACGAGCCCTTAAGGTTGAGGCGAAGAAGCAATTTTAACCCAAAGCATGAGATGAAAATCCATTTATGGTAAGATAGATGGTGCCATTGCCATATGAATTAATCATCCCCATCATCACTTAAATCTTAACTATGTTGGGGCCAGTAGCATAAACTAGTAGTGTCAGTTAAGTGTAAAAAATTAGTTATTATCATACACAGTTCCTTGTGCTATAGGGATGAGCATGGATTGTTTTCAACTTTTCATCAGTAATTTGCTAAGCAGTCTGTACTTGCACGGTTCTGACTCAAAATCACTATAGTTGGCTACTTGCAAAAGTATAACAATGTGCTTACTATGTCCTGTCCAGTCTATAGGCTTATGAGGCTCCGACTTTAGTTGATTTCAGGAAATGTACAGCCATACACATTTATTCTTCCTCCTACATGGAAACATACTCGTACGGAAAACATATCTTATGGGAACTACTGCCAACCAAAGTGTGCAGAGTCCAGATGAAGTCCTCAAAACATCCATTTAGAAGTGTGGTGATCTAATGGTATGAGCAATCTAATAATCATTCCTCTGAACTCTGTTTCTTTTATCTTTTCTTTGTTCTCCCTTCTACATTTTCCTTTCATTCAGTTCAAACACAAAGTTTGCAACCTCTTACCTTCCAGCGTTGTTTGGTAGTACGAATTGGCATATTCTGCAGAATAATATGAATAAGTAGCCTTAGTTTTTTGCAAAAAAAAAAAAAAAAGCCTTAGATTTGCTTATTATGCTCAAATTTATTTTGTTACTCTTTTCCTTTCAAAAAGTTAGCGGATTTAGCTATTTCAGCCAAATAATCTCTTAAACGGTATGGACTCTTACGCATTAGCTTATATAGTTTTAACTTGCAGAGTTTTCTAGTTCCTTGAGAAAAGATCATCATCATTGCCACCTCAATCCCAGATTTGGTGGGTGACAAAAAAAATTATTGTCTTGAAATTAGTTGACAAAAGTTATACATGAACATTATTTTAGGACTACGAAAAAGGAAATTAAGGAAATTAAGTAAGATCATTTTTTGAGTTATTTGTAGTGGTGGGGGCCTTAGTCTCAACTCTCTATCTTGGTATATATTTGAAAATTGAGATTTAATAAAAATTGAATGCTTAGCTTCATTACAAATTGTAAAGCTTTTGGAATCGTCTTTTACTCGTTTTTAGAAATATACTGAGTACCATATATGGTGATATAGACCATGTCCTGGAAAGCAAATCCCAAACCCCTCCAAGATCATCCTTCCATACAGAAACTACGAAGATTAAAGTGGGCCAAAGGGAGTATATAAGAATGTGGTTAATATGTGTGTATTTTATGGAGTTGTATTAACTGCATCATCTTCTTGCGTGGATTGTACTGTTTTCATGAATACTATGTTGGCTTCTGTTGCAGTACTGCAGGTTTGCTCTTAAAGCTCGTTATGAATTTATTGGGTCCCAAAACCTTGTGGAAGCAACAGCAGTTGGAGATACAGTGCCAATCAAAAACATTGGAATTCATCCACTAGAAGATTTGGAACCAATCCTTGATTTCTTTCATGGGGAAAGTCTGTGTATCTTCCATTTTTGTTCATTCTGTAGTTGTATTCCATATTTCCATCTACGTGTGAGTCTGGCCAGAGTTCCGAAACTTGACCTAGACTGGGCAGGTAAAAAAAACTCAACTGGAACCCGGTTTTTGGTTCCAGACCTGAACCAGTATGGTACAAGTTCAAACTGGGTCCATTTTTTTCAAAACCGGATCAGTTTCGGTTCTTTCTTTGGAAAATTTGCTGAAGAACTGGACCTCATGCATAGCTGACCCTAGAACCACAGCCTGATATACTTGGATACTTTTATGGCTAGGTGTACTTTTGGACATATAATCAGCTTGACTGGGACCAGATGGTGTCGTCCTTAATTCCAGTTTACATAATACTGCGTACTTACCATCAATTGGTCAAACAGCTACTTCTTTCATAGTTTATATTGTTTAATATTCTTCTATAAGTAAATAGCATTGATGCTTTATTCAATGTAAATCTGGATGTAGTTTGTAAATATGTATAGTTTAATTTTATAAGTTTTGGTGTGCTTGGACTCGGGCATACTATAATGTAAAATATATCTCGTGACATGATACTCATTATGACTAGGGGTGGACTGAACCGGGCCGGTTCGGGCCTCGGGCCTGGGCCCGTCCGGGCCTCGGTTCAGAATATTGAGGCCCGAGCCCGAACCGGGGGTGGCCGGTTCCGGGCCGGGCCACCCACCTTATTTTTTTTTTTGGCTTCTTTATTTAATCCCCTGCCCCTCTTTCTCAACCCCAAACCACCCCAAACCACCTTAAATGGATCAAAATACCTAATCTAACCCAAAACATAAAAAATTTTCAAATAAAAATAAAAAAAAATTATTTCCGGCCCGGACCGGGCCCGAACCGGCCGGGCCTGTTCACCATATGGAAGGCCCGGGCCCGGAACCGGGAACCACTGGGCCGGTTCGACACGAACCGCTGGTGGACCGGGCCACCGGGCCGGGCCGGTTGCTACAGTGGCCGGGCCGGGCCGGTTCCGGGTCGGGCCGCCCGGCCCGAGTCCAGACCTAATTATGACAAGGTGTAAAAATAAATATAGAACACCATCCAGAAAACAGTGCAGCATATATCAATCCAAAATACAATAATAACAAAATGCGTAATAAATGTTACTTATATACAAATATTTTGGAACATCATACATTACCCCACTTAGGGGTGGAAATCGCCTAATTTTGAATTAGGACCGGAACTGGAAAATAAGGTTCTGGTCCGGGACCGAGACCAGACAGGCGCGGAAGATGCCTTGGTCAAGGCACTCCATTTTTTTAGATTGGGATGGAAACTGGATTCGTTCCATTTTTTTTTTTTTTGCTATGAAACCACTATAGAATACTACGTATTTCATATAGGTTGAGAGTCCATTTAAAAGCATAAAAGAGGTGGAGACTATAGAGGGGGTGTGGGTGGGGGGTGGAGAGGGCAATAGAGGATTTAAAAATATATTTAAAAACATAAGACCTGGAACCGGTCGGGAACCGGAAATAGAGGTCTTGGTCTTGGGCCTCCATATATTTATCCAAAGACCAGCCCGTCCGAGATCGGAACCAGCCCGGACTGAGAACGGCTCCACCACTAACCCCACAAAAAACAACGGATACTTGTGAGATCCAATATCCTATACTTTCATTTTTCAGAAGAAAAAAAAAACACATTAAAAATATGTGCCTATTGCATTTTCACCCTCCAAGAATTTTCCACTCCACACTTCCACGGTGCATCTTTTTTTGTGATGCTTTTATCTTTAGCCATGGAAAGCGAAGAATAAAAGCAAACAATAATCTTTACAGATTGTGCATAACACAAAAGGGAGTGATAGCAATGACATTGCCTTTTGATAAGTCTTTCATCTGAATAACTCTTTACTATAGAGATTGCAGAAGATGACATAACAACGAGGTGGAATTTATTTTTATACAGAATTTATTTAAAGTGAGCTAGTGTGTTCTCCATCTTTTAATGACATTGTTGTCACTTCAACAATGTTAGTTTCATGAATGTTTCTAAACTAAAATTGTTTATGCAGCATTCTTTTGTTTTGAATTCATGCTGCAGGATTGTGAAATGCCTTGAATTAACACGAGCCTGTGTGTCGAATGTTTTGTATTATGCACATTTTGAGTTTGAACATGAGTTGAATTTTGAGTTCGAGTACATATCCGAGTTGTCCTCGAGTATAGTAATGCCTGATTCAGTTTAAGCTTATACCTATATAACAACCTCAATTGATAGGACCAGATATATACGTAAACGCAATTAGTATGATTTTATAAATTTAGATATAATTATTAAGGAATCAAGTATTTGTTGAATAATTCAAGCACAGAGAATGAGCTAAACTTCTACATGTGGCCATATTTATCGAGCTTATCAAGCATTCGACTCAAACACTAAATATATGTATTAGTCGAGCACGAGCTTCATTTGTAACATTTGTTATGTAGCTTGAACTCAAACATGAACAACGCACCACTATTACCAAATCGAACTGAACTTGAACTCTAGTCTCTAGGTGTATGAGCTTGACTCGACTCGTTAACAGACTTACCCCTAACCAGACCAATTATGAGTCTAATATTAGTTGCGCTTCCAATTCTTGTGCATATTTTAAAAAACTAGGACTGAAACAAAAAACAATCTACTCCTATTTTGGAAGAACCTGAACCAATTTGGACTGATGCCTGTTACCAACATAGAAACGTCTTAACAGATGGGTTTTTACTTGGGTCTCAGTGTCTCACACCGGGTTCACCCTTGATTACAAGTTATGAAGTAATATCGTCTTGATTCCATTCCCGCCATTATCGTATTTCTCTATTCATCACACATTCACACAGCAATTTTTTTCTCTGCATCTCTCCAAATCCACCACTTCACAAGTTGGCATGATTTTTCCCCGACTTCGAGTATTCATATGCCGCAAAGGAATCAATGAAAAAAAAAGTAAAACAAATTGAGAAAGAGACTAGTAAAATGCCATTATGTACTCTTGTTTCCGAAAAATCAAAACATAACTCGACGCATAAAGCCTGCGTATCTTTAACATTAGTACTCTTGTTCACATGTAATTAAACCATGCCTACAAAGGTAATTAATTACAAGCTCTGCCAGTAGGTCAACTTAAGCTAAAAAGCTGGTTCATTTTCTCTATTAGAATAGGGTGATGTACATGTTTTACCGCTGCCACTTGAAGAAACTGACCCCGCTGCAACTCTCTGCAGCACTATCATCATCTGACCTGCTATCGACCGTTTCATCAGAACTCTCCTCTGGAACCACCTTCACTCTATCAGCGTTTTTCATTATCCAATCAGCGAATTCAGGTGAAGATGCCAACTCAGCTATTCCCGACTTGGTGGATTCTTGTGTGAACTCCTCCCATTCCCTTGCTGAGAATCTCTTCCTGTTAGGCGTCTTGTGATAGGTTGAGTAATAGCATGCGGGTTCCTTTTTTGCCACCCTCTTATTATTAGATCGAGCCAAACCTGCAAGAAATTGAAAATTGAACACATCAACAACCTCACTCTCTTTACAAAATTTTTTTAGGAGCCCCATATGACTCTTATGGAGTCATATGAGGTATTGTGGCACCATCATCACCATTCATTTATTTTGAGGGGTCCTCCACTAAATAAATGAATGGTGATGGTGGTGCCACAATACTCCATAAGAGAGTCATATAGGGTTCCATAAATCTACTCCTCTCTGAACGAACTTTACAGTGTTGTATTAACCAATCCACTTAGTTATCTAGACCACTCATAATAATATAGTAACAATAGTTTCTTAAACTAATCACATCTTATCTAATACTGTTAAAATTAATCATATTTATAAACTCATGAGTATGTTTTTATTATTAACTTTTGTATGACTTCAAAAAAAATAACTTTTGTATGACAAATCTAATACGGAGTACAACACATTATGTTTCTAAATTCTCTTGCCATGTTTTCCAATGTAGAGCCCTATTTAATTAAATGAAGGCGAAAGATACTATTACTCCACTCCCTCTGTCCCTAAATTATCTTACAACTTTCCCTTAACGTTCGTCCCAAAATAATCATCTCTTAATTCTTTTGGCAAAAAATTGTTGCTCAGAGCACTTCTTATACATTTCTCTCTCTGTAAAACTCTCCACTACACAATTTCCACTCTCTTAATCCATGGAAGTAGTATATATTTACTAAATAGATAGCTATGCAGAACCACACAAAAAAATCAAGAAGTGGAAAGATAAATCGGGAGGGAGTGACTCCTTGGGGACGTCTCAGTTTGGATTATATCAAGTCAATAACTTGATAGTACAGTATATGTCATCAATCATACTCTAGTCTTATTTGTTGTTGTGACTAAATTGATCATATTTGACCTATTCGTAACTCTTTGTTTTGGAAATTCTGAATAAAAACATTCTTTTTTACATTAAATTTTCTAGGGCAGAGTGGGTATATATTTAAGAAGCAAAATGTAATACATTTGCAAAGAGGTTTTCCAGTTGATTAGTGGGGATGTGAAACATAGGTTTAGTCAGGGAGACTGGGGCTTATTAGAAAGAAGAATAGTACATAAAAATAAGGGATCCAAGATATGTTTGCCTCAGATCCCAGAAAAAACCATTCTTCAGTGCTTTTAAAATTAAGGGGAATTTTGAGTTTGCACCCCACTTTTTGGGTGATATTGGACTTTGCACCCTATCTACAACATTTTATGAAGAAAAAAATCTTGAATGGGGTGCAAAGGCAAAGACATTTTAGGGGAAATACGGTGCAAAGTCTAAGAGTTTTGAAAATGTGGTGCAAAGTCCAATATCACCCAAAAAGCGGGGCGCAAAGTCAAAATATCCCTAACATTAAACATTTTCTTACAGAAACAGTTAGCTTTCAGTTCTATCCATACTTTATTGGGAACTTATCATCAAGAGCTTTCTCGTACTTCATTTATTGTGTTAAAAAAATCATTTAATCATATACCTTAACATAACAAATGTTCATTTAAAATTAAATTGTAACGGGGTTATCACAAACAAGGTCAAAAGACACAATAACCAGAAGGGGCTCAGTTTAAAATGAATAAAAAATGTTTCACTGAATATAAGTATAGGAAAAACTGTGAGATAAAAATGGAACAAAGAGTAACTACCTCTTAGAGGAGAACCAGACCAAGGAGATGAGCTCATTGGGCTTTTAGATGCAGATCCATAAATTCCTGCTCTCTTTGACTTCTTATAAAACTCAGCACGCTTTGGCGTCAAGTTTAATTGCTTATTTATACGTGCATTCACAGCCCTATTTCTGGAATAAGATGAAAACATGCAGGCACAGAGACAAAAGGTCAGATGGTCCAAAACTAAATAACAAGATACATACTTAACACAATTAAATACATGGAGAGCCATAGAAAGATACCTTGCTCTGCGTTGCCTCATGGAATTCATACAAGAGCAGAGCAAACACCACAAACCAAGCACAACAATTGCCAGAGGAGTATCTAATGTGCTCTGACAGAAAGAAAAAAGATGAAGAGTTGG